ATATATATATATATTTTTATCTATATTGAACACCATATATCTATATAGAATATACCATGTTATAAAAAGATCCGATGCATCCTCTAGCAGATCATAGATATGCCCCTGAACCCGAAACCCCTAAACCNNCCTAAACCCCGAACTCCTAAACCCCTAAGCCCTGAACCCTGGCCCGAACCCGAAACCCTAAACCTTACTTCCTGCAGTTTCGGGGAACCCTAAACCCTAAACCCTAAACCCTAAACCCTAAACCCTAAACCCTAAACCCTAAACTCTAAACCCTAAACTGAGTTTTGGGGGGGTTTCAGCTGAGCCTGGGCTTCCCATGGCCGCCCTGGACCCCGGCCCAGGGCTCGCAGCCAGTTCTCAGAGCTGGATCCAAGGACCCGTTTAGGGAAAAGGGATTCAGGGTTTGGGGCTCAGGGTTTAGGGTTTAGGGTTTCGGGTTTAGTGGTTTAGGGGGTTTAGGGGGTCTAGGGGTTTAGGGTTTAGGGTTTAGCAATTCTTCCTCTTAGGACTCCTGCTTGAATGGTCTTCCCAGGACAGCGCCCCCAGCAGGAGCGGGAGCAAGGCAAAGCCAAAGTCTTCGAAGAGTACAAGATTCAGGAGGTTTACTGAGTGCTCACAGTCCGCGTGCTTGTCTGAAATCTCCTCATTTTTTAAGTTTGGGTTTTAGGACCTTCTCAGTGTGTGAAAATGGGTTCTGTAGGGGATCTACAACCTTAAACTCCAAACCCCTTCTTGAGCTTCACATGTTGAGCTAGACCCGGCCTCTTCAGGGCCCCCGAAGTCGTCAACGGATGCTGGACTTTTCGGTGGATGCTCGGGTTCCTTAGCAGCAGTGCTTTCTCTCGTGCTCGCTCTTGCTCTTCTCTCTCTCTCTCTCCCTCTACCTTTAAACCTTAAACACATATCAGAATTTGTCTCACAGACACGCATACACGTGCACGTTGCTGCTTCTCCTCATCGATTCCTTTGGACATGATGCTTTGGAGAAGAGCCGGGGATCAGACAAGGTCCGTTGGAAGAGGTGGAAAGCCCAAATCCCTCAAGCATGCCTCCCACTCAAAGCCAGCCGGTCTGTCGGTCTGAGGCCTCGTAGTGGGCAGACAGTTTGTAGCCGTAGCCTCGAAGAATCCCGGGCCGAATCCCAAACTCCAGGAGTCTTTAGTGACAAGTTTGTGCGAAGGTCCGCACTGCAAATTTTGTGTGGCTATTCGGTGCGGGGGACAGTTGCGTTTTAAGCCTTGTGCGTTTAAACTTGACCCTAAACTCGAAGCCAACCGCGGTCTAGACCAAAAAGCCTCAAAGCTGCATCCAAGGATGTGGCAGAAAGAGACGTTCCCAAGGCTGATAGCTGTGAGTAATGCATCGCAGATGGTATTCGAGGTGAGGTATGTTAAAGGCTGTTTGGGGTGGTCGGGGGTTGTGCAGTCTTGCTGATCTCGAAAGACCTGCTCACCTGAAGTCGGCTTGGAGTTGTTGCTGTAAGAGGGCAATCCTACTGAAACCCGGCTGGAAGTGTTTCGAGACTTGGACAGATACCTGAGAACCTGATCCTGAAGTCTACCCCAAACCTTGATTTGCCGTCCGACTCTCAAGCCCCAACCTTCAATAATGCTAGACGCTCAACCCTAAATTTCCTAGCATCCGAGAGCACCCGGAGGCCTTTACGGCTTCGGAAGATATCCGCCAAATGCTCCACGGCCGAGAGCAGTAGTAGAAAGCAGAAGTGACACCAGCAGTGACGTGAAGGCTAGGAACACAGGAATAGTGGCACTAGTGGCGAAAAACGTAGTAGCCTTCCAGCCAGTACTAGGAATCGTAGTAGCAGTAGTAGTAGTAGTAGTAGTAGTAGTAGTAATCGTCGTCGTGGTGGTGGTGGTGGTAGTGGCTGTAGTAGTGGCTGTAGTAGTAGTAGTAGTAGCAGTAGTAGTAGCAGTAGTAGTA